TAGAACCTAATGATTTAATTTGAACGAGCATGGGAACAAACTAGTCCCTCTGAATGTGGTTGACAGTTGGGGAAGGCTGAGAGGCTACTGATAGTGACACTGGGATTTATCTCTACTGCATGTACTGGCTTCTTGGGATCCTATTCTCTTTGTATGTATACCTTGCTCAACCTAGATGTAGTAGGGAGGGCCTTGGATTTTTCACAGGGAAGGGTGCACTGCCCTCTCTTTGGATTGGAGGGAGTGAGGTGGGAGGGTGTGTGTAGGTGTGGGAAGGGAGTGGGAATTTGGATTGATATTTTTAAAGTAATAAAATAAAATAATAATAATAAATAAAATAAAAAGTAAAACAGAATAAAAAGAAAGAAACTTCAGGAGAACTGGGCAGACATGTTATAACACACAATTAATATAAAATTGCTCAAAAAATAAAGACTTCCTTTCCTGGCAAAATAAGTACTGAATTTTGAAGCTGCAGGGCGATTGGTAAAGAAAAGTCCCCAGACTATCTTGATACAAAATATATAGCTTTAATAAACAGAAGTAAGACTTACAACAGCTTACACCAGAATCCAACCGATCCGTCTGGACACAGGAGCCAGGCGAAAAGAGAGCTAGTGGAGGGCGTTTGCAAGGTTTATAGGCAGGCTTTTGCCTGAGGGCGGCACGCCCCGAAAACAGAATATGATTGGGTGAACTCCCCTATCAGAATTTAAAGTGAGTTCAAAGGGCTAGTAGAAGCATTATGTAAAATCACCAAAGTAACTTATAAATTAGGCGCAAAAATCAATAAAGAAACCATAATGAGAAAAGCCAACCAGAACTCAATACTGGGCTTAAGCTGTGATAGCAAAATATAGGATGTGTGAGCCAAAAGGAGAATATGAAAGTCCTGATCAACAGGATTAAGTATGAGGAACACAGAGAACATTATCTGGGATGAAATTATACAACAATATATTACATACAATTTTAATGTACAAATGTCAGAAATGATGGAAGGAGAGATCGGAAAAGGTGTCCTCGGAGGTAAGTAAAAATATGTAAAACATGCAGTTTGTTCAATATGAAACTAAAAAATAAATTATTTAAGCAAGCAAACAAACCAACTGAAGTAGAGAAATTTTTTAATTTGTTTTCTATTTCTTGTACAACACACCATGGTCAAAGATAGCTATGAAGAAATGGCTTTATTTCATTTAACAGCTAACAATCCATTGCAACATAAAGACATGGCAGGAGTTCAAGGTAGGAACCTAGAAGTGGAAACTAATGAAACTATGGAACAACACTTACTGGCTTGTAGTCTGTGTCTCACTTAGCCTGCTTTCTTATAAAACCAAGACCACCTGCCCACAATTGGCAGCACACACAGTGGGATGATTCCTCTTACTTCAACCATTAATCAAAAAAAATACAATATAGAAAGTATCTACAGGCACTCTGATAGATTCATTTTCACCACTGAGTATGCCTCTTCTGAGATCATCAGAATTTGTGTTAAATAAATGAAACTAAGCAGGGAAGAGATATGGAGGTGAAATGGATGACAAGGGAGGAAAAGGAATGATAGAGAAGAGGGGTAGAGATGCATTTAAAACCTCCCAAAGAGCAAACCAGGTTGTGGTGCAACATACTGGATTCTTCATTCTGACATATAGAAAAACTCCGTTAACCTGAAAGCTATTGCCTCTTTTTGTTGTACAGATGAAAATATCTCATTTGTGATTTCTCAAAGTCATGAAACATAAAACTATGGAAGGTTAAATGTTTCTACAGGAATATGTGAATTCCTTTATCAGGGCTGCTTATGAGCAGGCCTTACTTATCAATGAGTAGAAACTGAAGTGTGGTGCGGGAGAATTTTCTGTATTCTGTCAATCATATTTTAATAAAACGCTGATTGGCCAGGCAGGCAGTATAGGCAGGAAAGCCAGACAGGTAGTAGAGGTGAAGCAAAGAGACTGGGAGTATTCAATGAAGCAGGAAGCTCCCTCTGCCAGTTCTGCCCAGACCACCGGAGAGGAAAGATGTAAGCTGCCCTGCTGGAAAAGGTACTGAGCCATGTGCTAACATAGATAAGGATAATGGGGGTAGCATAAGTTATAAGAGATAATAAGTAGCCTGACCTAATGGGCCAATCAGTTTATAACCTAATATAGACTGTGTGTGATTTTCTTTGGAAGTTGCCAGTTGTGGGGTACCAGGCGGGACAGATACCCCAACAAGCTGGCCCTCATGTTACAGAAGTGCATGGAGCATGTATTTGAATACATCTTTTGATCCATTTCAATATGGAATACAGAGGAATTTTAACAAAATGCTGGGCATAAGATATACATTATTTTATGATTATTTTTATAAAAAATTAAAGGTAAAATACTTTGAAATTGCCCTCTCATGGGTATTATCACTGCATAGGATTGAAGCATCTGTCCCCATGCGTTCAACCTTATATGTTTCCCACATGGAAGATATTGGAAGTATTTCATTACCCCAAAATTCCCATTAGTATCTCAGATACCACGATGAGATGCTCAAAAATTTATTTTTTAACATTTCAAGTAGAATTGAAACCATTAAAGATAACTGAAACTTACATGAGACTGAAAAAATGTGATGCCAAACAGAAATCACCAGAAATAAAGTTTACCAATACAATAAAAGACATGAAGGAGAGAATTTCAAATGTTGAAAAAAGGGGAGATAAATGAACACTACAGTTGAAAAAATGCCCATAAAGTTCCCAGCAGTTTGCAGACAGATAAGAGCCCTGTCTGCAAACTGTGCCCCAACCCCAACAATTCACTGGACCTTGATCCTCAAAAACTCACTCTGCCACCCAAACCCATATCCCAAAAGATCCTTCCTGGGACAAGTCCTCACCCACAACCCCAGCAGACTACATAGGCACAGAGACAAACCAAAACAGTTAGAAAAACAGGTTAGTGATTTGCCTCTCCACTGGACTACCTTAACATCCAGACCCTAAATTCACCAGGGCACATCCCGTGCCACCCTCCCATACCAACCCCAACAAGGCAGCTGGAATCTGCCACCACCTCTGGTGAAAATTCAAGTCTCTGTTGCAGTCCCCAACAGTCAGCAGGAGGTGAGAGCCTTACCACCAGGCTTTGCCCCCACATCCACCACATACTGGGCTCTGTCCCTCCAAGATCCACTCTAAAATCCAACTCCATTGGATTTTAGAAAATTCTCCCACTCAAACATAGCAGACCATATAGGCACAGGCACAAACCACATCAGTTGGAAAAACAGCAGACACATAGGCATGTTGTGGGATAATGCTTTTGTATACTGTAAAGGTTTGTCACTTCTGTTGGTTTAATACAATGCTGTTTGGTCTGTAGCCAGAAAGGAAGTATAGGTGGAACAAGCAGACTAAGAGAATTCTGGGAATAGAAAAGGCAGAGATGCAATCACCAGTCAGATACAGATGAATCAAGGTAAAAATGCCTCACTGAGAAAAAGAACCAAGCAATATGACTTAGCATAGGCAACAAATATGAGTTAATTTAAGTTTTAAGAGCTAGTTGATGATAATCCTGATATAATAGACCAAACAGTTTTATAGTAAGTATAAGCCTCTGTGTATTTTTTTTTGCAACTAAATGGCTGTGGGATCAGGCAGGACAGAAACTTCCATTGACAAAGGTGCCCAAACATTTGAAAAGAATTTCAACATTAAGCCTCAAAAAGTTGAAAAGAAAGACTTATAGACAGACAATAACAGACCCAAGCACAGCTTCTTGGTAATCATTTTTTCCTTGATAGGCTATTTGCTAGAGATAATGTGGCTCCTTTAAGGGAGACATCCTTACTCAGCTTTAGCCAAAGAAATCTCTGAGCTGTTTTTAGAGGCCATACCAAAAAAGATTAAACTGGTCTTTATGAAATCTGTGGCATGCTTCTTGCTGGTTGCAGGGACCTTAAAATTCCACAGAGTTGTGGCAATAAAAATGGCACTGTCAGTACCTCTACCATGAAGCTAGACTCTTGAAAAGCTAAGGAATGGGGTACAGTCAGCTGCAAAAGCTGCACCTTTAATGCTAGTCATGATGCTTAGAAGATTTAAGACTTGTGTGCTCAGAAAAATTTAGACATATGCAGTAAAGACAGATTCATATGGAAAAATTACTCTAGATGGATTAAAGTATGTTTTAAAACATATGTAGGCTTGGGAGAGAAAATAAAAAGGAGAGAGAAAGTTTTTTGAAAAGGAATGGAGTAGTCAGGTTTGGTCCACACACCTTTAATCTCAGTACTCGAGAGGCAGAGGCAGGAGGATCTTTGTGAGTTTGAGGTCACCCTGGTCTGCAGAGTAAGTTCCAAGACAGTCAAAGATACACGGAAAAGCCATGTCTCAAAAAAAAAATTAAAAATAAAAGAAATAGAGTAAGATTAAAACCACAGAAATATGGATAAATATACAGAGAGTCTGGATACTGTATGTTATTTTGTTGTCTTTGAATTGTTTAATTATTGAGGCAGGAGCAACAGCTGCTAAAAGATATTTGATTATAAATACTGATACATTTATCAAACATATATGTTTTGAAAATGCCTTGACTTCAAAATTTAAGTCAAAACATACGTTTCTTTGCAGAAGAGATTTTTATGTTTGTTTCCACAGGAAATGAAATGTTGTGGATGAATTCTTGGTTAAGAAAAAGAAGGTTTGATCAAGGAGAACCCCCCCTGAAAAATCTCCAATGGAAATGAGTATCCCAGATGATTCAGTAATTCACAGCATCTCTATTACAGTTTCTTTTGAGCTCTGAACCAAGAACAGTTTCAAGGCTGCTGGCTGAGATAATTCAGTCTCACAGAACACTTCAGTCAGAACTTGACCATAATCCTAAATTTGCTTTGGGCCCCCATAACATTACTAGCACACTCAGTTGGCAGGAAGTAGCCTTAAAAATTATGCCCACATTCTCCCCCAAAATTGATTTGGATGTTCGTCTTAATTTAACTTGCTAGATCTGCTGCTGATCCACCAGGTCCTGGCCCCTGGCTGCCTGAACAACTTCCCCCTGCTCAATGCCTATATGGCACATCTCAGTGCCCGGCCCAAGATCAAGGCCTTCCTGTCCTCCCCTGACCATGTGAACCATTCCATCAATGGCATCAGCAAGCAGGAATGTATGGGAGAGACCGGAGCTGCCTGTCCACCTTTTCCCAGCACTAATAACATCTGTAAGACAAAAAAATAGTGTATTGGTTAGAGGTTTTTATGTAGAATAGTGAGGGAATAAAGCTAAGCAAAGAAGATTAGATTCAGTGTCTTTATTTGAAAAAAAAGAAAGGGGGACTGCTGTAGGATAATACTTTTGTACACTGTAAAGATTTGTTAATCATATTTATTAATGCAATGCTCATTGGCCAGTAGAAAGGCGGGAAGTATAGGTAGAACAACCAGGCTAAGAGAATTGTGGGAAGAGTAAAGGCAGAGATGCAGTCACCTGCCAGATGTAGAGAAACCAAGATGAGAATTCTGCCCTGAGAAATGGTACTAAGTCATGTGGCTAAACATAGGCAAGAACTATGGATTAATTTAAGCTGTAAGAGCTAGTTAATGATAAGCCTGAATGAATAGAACAAACAGTTTATAATTAATATAAGCTTCTGTGTGTTTCTTTGGGACTGAGTGGTTGTGGGACTGAGTGGGACAGAAACTTCTCTCTACTTAGGCACAGGTTTATACTACAATAGTTGGAAGAACAGATACATGCATAAACCACTGCAGTTGGATGAAAGAATGAGTAAATGTCAGTGTAAGAATATATTCGACAACTGAGAGAGTGATATGGCAACACAAGTGCCCAGTGGTTCTACAACAGCAAGACCTGACAATCCAATACAATCAAAACAGAAGAAAAGAAACTTAAAAATTACTTTGTGAAGGTGATAGAGTCTCCTGAAGAAGAAATGAAAATTTTTGTTAAAAAAATATAAAAAAAGACAAATAGAAAGTTGAAAAAAATCAACAAATTTCTTAAAGAAAGTCAAGAAAAAGACAAGATATTCTGAGTAAATTGGAAGCCTGTGGACCTTGGGAGAGGGCTGTAGGGGAGGGGAGAGCTAGGAAGGAGAGTAGAGAAAAATGTAGAGCTCAATAAAGATAATAAAAAAGTCAAGAGAGCAGAGAGAAAAGTCAAGCAAGTGAAAGTATCATTTTAAGCCTTCAACTGAAATAGAAAAAATAAACAAAACACAAACTGAGGGAATCTTGGAACTGAAAATTTTAGAAAGAGAGCAGGAACTACAAATGCATTTACCACCGCCAGAATACAAGAGGCAGAAAGAGAATCTCAAGCACTGAAGATTCCCTAAAGAAAATAGATTTGTCAGTCAAAGAAAACATTAAATTCTCTAAGATCCTAACACAAATGTACAAGAAATGTACCATGAAATGCACCATGAAAATACCAAAAGTAAAAATAATAGGGATAGAAGAAAAAGAACTCCAACTCAAAGGCACAGAAAAAAAGTCAACAAAATCACAGAAAAAGACATTCCTAACAAAAGGACATACCTATAAATGTATAAGAAGCTTACAAAATAAGGAAAAAGCCTGGACCAAAAAAGAAAAAAGAAAAAGAAAAGAAAAGTCTCCTCACCAAATAATGATTGAAACACAAAACATACAGAATAATGAAAGAATTTTAATAGCTGCAAAGTAAAAAAGGTCAAGTAACATAAAAAGGCAGATATATCAGACTACATCTGACTTCTAAATAGAGACTATAAGTACCAGAAGGTCCTGGACAGACATTTTACAAGCACTAAGAGACAATATATGTCATCCAAAAGTAATATGTCCAGCAAAATTTTCAATCAACACAGGAAGAGAAAACAATGTGTTCAGTGACAAAACTATACTTAAACAATATCTATCCACAAATCTAACAATACAGAAAGCAGCAGAAGAAAAACTCCAACCCAAGGAACTCAATAACATCCAGGAAAAACATAGGCAATAGACAATTTCACAACAACAAATTTGAAAGAAGGCAAACATGCACACTACCATGACCACCACCAAATCCAAAAAATAAAACAAATTAGCAATCACTGGTCAATGACATCTCTTAATAACAATGGGCTCAATTCACCAATAAAAACACATAGGCTAACAAAATAGATATTATGAAAATTGGATCCAACATTCTGCTGCATACAAGAAACTTATTTCAACTTCAAAACCAGACATTGCCTCAGAGTAAAGGGTTAGGAAAATTATTTCCAATCAAACAGACCTAAGGAGAAATCCAGTGCAGGTATGAAAATATCTAACAAAATAGACTTCAAACTAAAATTAATCTAAAAAGATGAAGAAGGCAATTTTATATTCATCAAAGGAAAAATTCACCAAGATGAAGAGTCAATTCTGAACATCTATGCCATAAATAAAAGGGCACCGACAAATGTAAAAGGAACATTATTAAATCTTAAATTATGTATCAAATATAACACATTAATATTGGGAGTCTTCAATATACCATCTTACCAATATACAGGTCTTCTATAGGAAACTTAACAGACAAACAAGGGAACTAACAGTTGTTATGATCCAAATGGACTTAACAAACATCTACTAAACATTTCACCCAAAGACAAAAGAATATAGCTTCTCAGGACCTCATGGAACCTTCTCTAAAACCGACCATATAGTCAGTCTTATAGCAAATCTCAACAGATACAAATTTGGAATAACCCCCTGTATCTTTTGAGAGCACCATGGGTAAAAGTTAGAGTTCAACACAACACAAACTACAGAAAGCCTACAAATTCATGGAAACAAAACTATTCTCAAACGAAAGACCACTGGGTCAAGGAAGAAAAAAGAAAGAAATTAAATAATTCCTAGAGCCAAAGAAAATAAATTTACAGCATACCCAAATTTTGGGACACTATGAAAGCAGTAATGAAAGAAATGTTCATAGAACTAAATGCCTACATAAAGAAATTGGAAAATATCACACTGGTGACTTAACAGTATATCTGAAAGCTCTTGGACAAAAAGAAGAAAACTCACCAAGAAGTAGTAGACATCAGGAAATAATCAAATTGAAAGCTAAAATCAAAAAAGTAGAAAAAAGAGAACAATATGTTGTAAGGATGTTACTTGTTTGTCCTGGTCATTCAGAGCCAAAATATTTACACAAAAGTGGTATTAATTAAATCACTGCTTGTACCATTAGTGCTAGCTTCCTATTCGCTAACACTTACCTGTAAATTTAACCCATCTCCATTAATTTGTGTATCACCATGTGACAGTGGCTTACCGGGTAAATTTCCAGGCATCTGTGTCTTGGGGGGCTACATGGCCTCTCTTCTTTCCACCTTCCTTCATGCAACATTCAGTATAGTTTTCCCTGCCTACCTCTGTCATGCTATTGGTTCAAAGCAGTTTCATTACTAAGCAATGGTATTCACAGCATACAGAGAGTAGTTCTCACATCACCTTCACTTTTCTGTTTAAGTAAAAAAGGTTTTAATTTTAACCTTAACATAGTAAAATTACATATAACAAAACAGGTATCAAACAAGAATTACAGTTACAATGTTTATGTCTCCTTTTTATCTATTATTAAACTCCATCAAAGACTCCAGAAGGACATAATATTACCCAAGTAAACAGGAAGTGCCTTATAGGCAACTTCCAAAACTCTAGAAATGATAGAGACATCTTGCTGCCTGGACAGTCACTCGAAGTTCTTCTGTACCATTAGGGCATTCATCTTCAACTTATAGGCACATAATATGCATCAGAATTTTCCACAAAGCAGGAAATTTCAAGACAGTTCTGCCTATATTGGCAGTTTGTCAGTCACATTTCTCTGTGTCCAGCAAAATGTCTGGTAGACTATTTTATGAAGCAGAAATACAGAAGGACAATCTCACCTTTAGGCAAGTTCAGAAATAATTTCTCTGTGGCACCTGCATGTCTAGTTCATCAAGCTGTCCAGGTAAGAGCAGTTTCTTTCCCAAATGGCTAACAAACTCCATGAGGAGCCTTTTCAATACTCATCTTCCTCATGAAGTAGATTGTGCTGCCAGGAATATATGTATCTAACTGTCATGAAAAGTCCTAAATTTTTTAAACATTTTAAATGCCATATTCTGTAGTCTTTGAAACAGAGTTGAACAATCCCTATCCATCTGAAATACAACTCTATACATTTAAAAAATCTAAGTAACATGACTACAAGCTTAACTATTGTAGATGATTATTTATAAACACATATTTCCTAATTATACACTACACTTTTAAATGATCTATACAATAATTTAATCAAGATCAGAAATTCATATATACAGTATAATAGAACTGACCTTAAATTTGTATGAATAAACCAAGATCCATACCAATGCAAATTTCTATAGCATATCCTCCTTTAAATGTGAACAAATATTTATGAACAGTATATGGGAATCTGGGCATAGGTCTTCTCCAAACTGCTTCCTGCTTTTTGTTGGGCAAAGTAATTTTTGAGGGGTGTTCTAGGTGACCATTTAGGTGGTCTTGTTTTATCAAACCACATTAGGCTGGAAGCAATCCAGAGGTTCTCATTCTCTTTGGAAACAAAAGAAGAACCTCTTTCACAAAGAAACATATCCTTAGACCCAAATTCTGAAGAGAAGATACCTTTGAAGTATATATGTTGTTTACTTAGCTCCTTCACAGTCAAAAAATTCAATGAAAATATGAAAATATACATAATCCAGACTCTCTTTGAAATTTCCATCTTTATGTGGCTTATTATTTTTGAATCCTCTAATCTACAACTGAATATACTGTCTTTTTCTTTACCCCCTTTTTAATACCATTTAATTCTTTTAATAACTGTCTATATTCTTTTTTCTCTGTCTCCCAGCCTATGTTTATTTATCCAATGCTGTGACCCATTTGGAGTCTTTTATGTCTGAATATGTCCTATTGTATATGTAATATGTAATTCTTTACTGCCCAAGAGCACTTCTTTAAATGCAAATGGTTCTTAAAATCCTAAGATGCACTATAACTAAGGTATATACAGCACTTTCTGATTGTTCCACCCAGCCCAACATGGTTGATGTCAATTCACTGCCTCTGTATGCCATGCACATTGCCCCAGTTTCAAGTATGCAGCAGGTCTATGTCAAGCCATTAAGCAGCTGCAGTACTCTACTCACAAAACTCCATTTAAA